AAAAAAAAAAAAAAAAAAAAAAAAAAAAAAAAAAAAAAAAAAAAAAAAAAAAAAAAAAAAAAAACAATTTAGAAAAAAAAAATCGCAAAAAAAATATATCATTTAAAATTCCAAATAACATATATTCAGAATTTCAAGAAAAAAACTCTGTTAAACATATAATGGTTCCTCTAACATGCCAAATCTTTACTCTGTGTTTATGATGTTCTTAAAAAGAGTTTCTGTTTTTTTCCTCGTTCAAAAAATAGGTGCAATAATAGAAAGGCTTTACATTATAGTCCCATCACATTCAATATATTTAACAATCAAGCAATATTATCAAATTTTTAATAATATAATGTTAATATTCAGCAATAAAAATACGACAGTTTACTTTAGGTGTTATAGAAATAGAATTTAACTTAAAAGGGCCCCATCATTTTCAGTAGCTTAGGGCCCCGCCAAGCTTAAATCCGGCCCTGACTGTCAGTATACAATTGCAGAGTTTATACAATCTGATTAACAAAAAAATATTCCTGAATGCAACTAAAGAGTCTGAAATAAATTAAGTTGAAGTGCTTATTTGATCCGACAATGTGACGGTAGAACTGCCTAAACATTACTGCGAATAACTTCTTGTATCCCATTAAAGAACTTACTGAAGAACTTTTGATCTGGCTGAAAGACTTATTTGATCCAATTAACGAACTTACTCAAGAACTTTTGATCTAAATGAAGAACTTTTGATCTGGCGGAAAAACTAAAAACTTACTTGATCCAATTAAAAGTTTTCTAAATTCAAGTGAAAAACTTTTTTAAAGGATCTTTCTGGGTGTAGCTGAAGAGCTGACTTAAGATCCCAGTAAAGAGCTAAAAGTTAGGAGCACTCACTGTGATCGGAATTAACTTGATAAACTAATCATGCAGAAGTCGCAATTGTATATTAATATTAAATATCACAAAATCAACTGGATTATTACTTAAAATATTGAACTTAAGAAAAAATTTCATTTCAAAAAGTTAAAGAAAAATTGATATTTTGGAAATTTAAGCAGTGCAAATTCTCAAAAAACTATCTAAATCTTATAACTGAATGTGATTTTTTTTTAAAAAAGTAGAACAGTTTTATTTGTTATAATATTTGCTAAATACTAGTAACTAAGATAAAAATTAAACAAATTTAACAGTTTTTTTTTCCTGACAGTTCTAACACCACGTATCAACTGACAACTTGATACGTGTTGCTATTGATAAAGTTCAAATCAATGAACATTTAACAAAAGTGTGTCAAATTTATGTCAAAAAATAATTCCCATGATTTTAGGATACATTTTTAAACCGTCCTTAAAAAGGGAGGTTAGGCATCAATGGGTAATAGGTGTATAGTTTGATCAAGCATTAAAGCTTTGTTCTTATTCAATTTATTATGGATTTATGGTTTATCTTTCAGAACAAATTGATTGCATCTGATCACAGAAACATCTCAAAGCGTGCACTTTTTGCACTGTTTTTTGAGCACATTGAGTGCCCTTGGTTAAGGAAATGCTGTTTGATTCATTAAATAAGAGCTCATACGTTTCAGATATACTTGAACAAGAAAACCTATTTTTATCGAATTGCATTTAAGATGCGAAATTTGTTACTGCATTGAAAATTAATTAAAGCTCTAACTTTTAATTTGCGTATGTATCTATTAACTTATATACGATGTATTTTAGACGGTAAAAAATATAATGAGAAGCATTATACACACATATAGCAAAAGATGAACGTACAACAATATTTACATCTTGTTAAGTATAGCACTGTCAGTACAATAATTAACTTTGATTGTAATTAAAGATAAAAATTGGATTAATTTAGAACACCGAGTTTTAGTGTCAATGATAATTTTTGCCTTTGTGATTATAAATTTTTTTTTTACAATTAGCAAAAGAAACTTATTTTTAGAGTTGTGGAAATAGTCCATTAATACATGTAAACCTGTAACATAAAAAATCTTAAATGTGAACTCTATTATAATACTTTAAGTGAAAAAAGAATTAGTTTTGTTTTGACCGAATTTTGCGTTAACAGTAACGTATATTTCAAATCTGCAAAAGTAAAATTCTGTTAAGAACATAAACCAAATAAGCTTTGTTATATTTTCTGAAACTATATGTATAATACATAGTCAGTTTATAAAACTGAAACTTTATATTATAATGCAAGCAAATAACATGCAGTTCACTTTCAGAGTAACTTATTTTTCTAGTTATTCAACTCAAAAAATAATAGTTCCCTTACGGAAAATTTAATTTCATTTTATCAAAATAATATTTACAGAACTCAGTCGATAATTATCTCGTGCTGCTGTAAGTGCTGATTGAAAACTTCAATATGAAATTTTGTACTTACAGCACTGTAATATGTTTTTGAATCTAGAAAATTGAGTGTTTTTAAAAAGACACTTAAAATACTTTTCCAGTAATATCTTTAATAGAAATATAAGTACTGTTCACTTTGTTTGACAGTATAAATGCACTGAAAGGGTACATACTAGAGTTTGGAGTCGGTGATTTGAATCAGAATTGATTTGATGATTCGAAACGCCATCTTGCAACTGATTCAAATCAGGATACGAATAATCAGATTATTCGAATCAGGATTCGAATGAATTATGCGAATCAGTTAATTTTATCGGAATAGATTTAAATTATAATGAATTATTGTTTCTTAAATTTCAGTGAATTTTTTTACAGTAATGCTGTGTCAGAAATAATTTGCATGATCTTGAAAGTGAAGCTAACTCCACTTTTTAATATGTGTAATTTTTACCACTATTCAGTAAATAAGGCCTTCAGTGACAACTAGTTAATATTTCTTTTTCACGACATAGCTAAGTTAACTGTTGGCCGAGCTTAAAGTCAAAACGCAAATATATGCCTGGTTAAGGTCTCATCTTTACTTAGAATATAGACAAAAACCGTTTCTGAAGTGTATGAAGTTTCTTCCTTTCTCAGTTAAGTACCCAAAACAGAGCTTGTTGCCTAGAATCGGCTGAACCTCTTTCATGTCTTTAGAGATCTCTTTAATATGAGGCAAATATTTGCATTGGAAACGAAACAGTTGAGAGGATTGTTCCATTATAGTTGTGCGGTGGGTTTTAGTTGTGGTAAGTGATACGAGGCTGATGTCCTCAAATGAATAAACTGTTTACTAACTGATGTTATAGTTTGCAATTTTTTCTGTAGTTAAAAACGATCCAGTTTTATTAAAATGAATTCATTAATATTTTTCAGACTCCTGACGGTTCTTTTGGTCGTTCTTTGTGTGATAGGAATATTAGCAGTTACCTTTCGTTCCTGTTTTCCTGCATGTTGTTGCAAGAAAAATACTGATGATCAAACAGGGAATACTGATCAACCCAGTGGACGTAGAAACTTAGCTTTTGATCATCAGGTATGATCTTGTTTGTTAGTAATTAGTTTTTCACCAAAAATACGAATTTAAGAAAGTTTGAATACAATATTTTAGAGTTTTGTCTTTTTTATAAATACAGAGCAGTGCTTTTTTACCGATTCTCTTACAATAAAAAATTTTGCGAAGTCGTTGGGTAGGGAACCGTGGAAACCATCCTGTAACGTAGGGAACCATCCTGTCAAATTTCCTTTCACCTCCATAAGTAATTTAAACTTGAAAATATGAAAAAAGCGAGTACAAGTAAACCTAGAAGTTTTTTCTTCTTCCAAAATATCAAAATGTAACAAATTATGACAGAATAATTTTTGGCTATGGGATGAGGAAGTTATCTAGCAATAATTTGTTTACATTTTAATATTTTAAAAACGTTTTTTCATCATTTGCCACATTTTCATCATTTATTTTTTCATTCCTTCATTTCATTGTTTTCATCATTCATCCTTTACGCTAAGATTACCTGAGCTTATTTTTCTCTCAATTTAAAATTTTAAACTACTAATGGGTGTGAAATATAATTTGACATGAAAAGTTCCTCCGGCGTTATAGCGTCCTCTAAATTCTTCGTTGTACAGATGTGACTCAAGATTGAAAATCGATTGCGCCCAGCCAGGTTTATTTTCAGAGAACAATCTGGAAACAAAAAAGATTTTTTTTATTTATTTTACGTGAGAATTTTTAACTAATCTTAGATACTAACATATCACCGAATTCTAATAGGAAATAGGTTTCTCTCTCTAAGCTACATTTTTTTCTTCACATGGCGTTTTTAATCTTCTTTTTTTTGTCGAAATGTAGAAGTTTAAAAGCTTTATATATATATAAAAAAAAGGGTGTCACATAAATTTTTGTGACAAGGGGAGCTAAGTATACCAACAGGATTAAAACTGCATAGGAACCCATGCCCAGAAATGTCGTCGCACACTGCTGGGAGCTTTTTCCTATTATGAACTACTTCTCCTAGTGTTTCTGAACAGGTCATAATAGGAAAGCGCCCCTTGCCGCGTACGACTATATTTCCGGGCATGCGTTCCTATACAGTTTTTATCATGATGATGTTCCCTAACTCCCCTTAAAGTTTGTTGCAGCATTTACGCGACCCTCTGTTAAATATGAAAAATTGAAAAATAGACGAAAAATGTCATTTAAAAAAAATCTGTGTCTTTAGAAGCAACACTAATTTCAAGTTTGGAATCCCGAAACCCGAATTAGGCAAGATCTGATATTTGTATAAATGCAACAAAAAAACTTGCTCCCCAGTGTAATTTATAATCATAATACTCGGCTTAGAGAATTCCTTGTTTACTGAGTTGGGTTCAAAATTGCAGAAACAGGAAGGTAAGTGTTATCTATCAATCTACTACATTTCGAAAAGTTGTGACCTGATGAAATAGCATAACGAATTGTTGCGTGTGATTTGATTTTTGTTTTTGGAAAAAATTCTGTCCTTTGAAAAGAAACAAAGATGAATGAAGAAAAATTATCGAATGAGCTTGCCCCTAGTCATCAAAAATTATTTAAGTAAAATCAATGTTTTTTCAGAGTAACAGGGTTTAAAAAAGATCATAGGCGGGCAAAGGTATACGGAGGCTTGGGGCAAACTACTTTAATTTGAATCCCCCCCCCTTGAAAGGGGAGTATTATTTCAGCACTGTAAAAAATTCCGGATCAAAATACGGTAAAATCCATTGTCACCGGAACATGTAAAGGAACAAAAAATCTGATATACCTTAATTTTTGCAATAATAATAACCGTAAAATCCCTGAATCACTTAAATAATGTAAATATTACTGTTAAATTTACTGTATAATATTTTACGGGGGAAAAGTAAAGCATTTCCGCTATAGGTTAGGGAGAGTCGCGGAGGTTAAGACCCCACACTTTCGTGACAAACGGCGTGATTGTGAAAATGTGGTCAGCACCGCGCACAGGCCGCCTTTACTTCACAGACGATCTGAAAGCCATCAATATGACGTTGGGGGAACTACAAGCCGACACTGAGGATCGAACCCTAGTTCTTCACAAGGGCAGTTAAGTGCCTTAACCACTAAGCCATCGCATTGTGGTAAAATTAGATTTTACAGTAAAAATGAATTTTGCGGATAATGTACTCAAAGTGCAGGTACGTTATCCCGTAATTTTATCTGGAATATTTTACAGTGTGGAAGGCACAAATAAAAATCTATTTAAATAATCAAATACACGTGTTGAAAATACATATAGTAATGAAAATCTGTAACCATTCTTTAAATTCATTTTTTGGGTGAAATTATTCTAAGGTCAAATATTTATATCGAATCGAGATCTTCCTCTTCACAGCTTTAGCGCCCTAAAACTTCATTATTAAATTTGTTTGAAAATAAAATATTCATTTAACCTTCAGTCGCTATTAGTCCATATTCAATAAAATATTCATTCGTCATAAAATATTTTCCTTGAAATACAATATTTACCTGTTAACCTATTTAACTTATTTATTATGAAAATAATACATAGTAATGGATTTTAATGTTTTACTGAATTAATTATAGTACCCTTTTTTGATAATAGGTGACTCCTTTCCATAATTATTGAATATGAAAGAAAATAGCTCATGAATTGATTGGTTTTATTTATTGCTCATTGATTGTTTTATAATTTACAATGAATCATATAACAAACAATTTAAATTTCAAATTTGGTTGACGTATAGTTGAAATTGATTTTGTTTACATCTTTGCTGTTTGAAGAAAATAAGACAAAATTACGATTTCTCGTAGTGGTAAAATTTTCACTTTTATCGAAATGTAATTGTATTGTTGTCAATAAATTCCCCTTTAGCTGAATTCATCGATGTCTGGGAATATTACCTCCTTGCCCTTTTCTTCTTGCCACTGAAAAGATCAAATAATTCAACGAATAATTTTGGATTTTTCTATGTAAAATATACTGGATTAGATTTCAAAAAATGAATTACATGTTTGAATGTTAACAAAACATGTCACTACTTAACCTTTTAAAAATAAAACACGTCTGTTCAATTTTTACGACGTTTGTATTAAATTCGCTTTCATGTCTTCATGGCGAAATCTTGCAAACGGACTTTCAACAACTTTTGGACTAGCTAGAGCTCTTGCATAGAGATTCATACTTGATGACCCCTGTAAGTTTTATTCGTTTTTAGAACACTACAAGTAGAATTTTTCGTAATTTAATTGCCGATTAGAACTCATTCATCGCCTTTCAAAATTCCGATCCCTTCCCGGGTAGATAGTGTGCTTAAATTTTATCTGGAGCTTCATTCTGGACGATAATACACGCTCAAAATTATTTTCTAGTTACTAAAAACACGATTTGTCGTTTTATTCCTGAATAGAATTCATTCGCCGTCAAATCAAAATTCCGACCACTTTCTGATATAAACAAATTATGTACTTTTCGATTAGACGTCTTTCTAAAACATACATCATTTTGGCCCTTTCATGCCATCGCGTTTCGCCAAGTGGAGCTTCTTTCTCTTTCTTGCGCGCAAGGCGACTGACCTTGATTGATTATTCGAGACTTTTATTTTATTCAAATATGAATAACAGACGTTTAAAAAAAATCCAAAAAGGAATAAAGTAGATAAGAGTTGATTTATATTGGCAAATTGTTGTGTTTTTTAAGTTGCTCATTTTATTTAGAAATAAATAGATTTATTTTATACTTTGTAATGACCCTTGGACCAGATGACTTTGTCGTGTTCTTGTAGCTTGTTCCAAAATCAAGAGGGATTTGGCATCGTTTTTACAGTCTGTAGTGTAATTACTAAAATCAGTACTGTTACTGTTTTATTTTTTGCTTTTCCTAGTGCTTGGAATTCTAATTGTTAAATAAAAATAAACATTTTAAAATGAAATAAGAAAAAATTAACATTCGATAATTAGCTATAGAATTATTACCTGTTAAACATCTAGTAAAAAATACCATAGGAGCAGCTCTGTATTTCGCAGGAATGCATATACAGAGTAAAAGTTTGATGAGCTGAAAGGATAATAAATAAATTGACTTAATCAATATAGGTTAAAATATCCGAGTTGTGTTGAAAGGGCTCCTAGATTGAATTAACTAACGTCTTCAAAACTTTTTGATCCACTTCTAACTAATATTATATTTTTTGTTTTAAAATTTCTGATATCGTTTATAACCGTAACATAATGATGAATTTGCCAAAAATTAATGCTTTTTAATACATTTTTGAATGTTTAAAAATATATTATATCGAGTGTCGATTATGACAATTTACTTATGTGAGATGTTACACAAATGCTGGAACTGGGGAAAAATTATATTGCATTGATTACTGGCATTTATTATATTGATAATATCATAACGTATTCATATGAAGTTAAGCATTTCTAATAAAGGAATATCAATCTGAAAAATAATGAATTAAAAGCAAATTCAGTTTCTAGAGAAAATATCGAGATCGTTTTATCAACTTGAAAACCAACTCAAACCATCTTGTCATCTCATTTATTTGATTGAAGAATAGAACAATCAAATGAATATTATTAAAGGGAAAAACATCTTTTAGAAATTTATTGCCAAATGTGTTTAGGGCATTTTTTCTTTTTTAAAATGTATGTTAGTAGTTTTAGATCGTACTACAAACTTTAATCGTAAAATTGTAATTGAGATGAATCAATTGTTATTAAATTATCAGCTGATAATTTAATAATTATTCATCTTTTCTGCAAACCATGTATCAATTAATGTTAATGATGTGCGTAAGTTTCAAACGCAGGCTGATTTATGTTGAAGAAAAAAAAATAGATAATGATCTTACCAATTTCTCCAAGTTAATTTCACTTTGTCTACTGTAAGATTTATTTTTATTTTATATTTTTATAACCGTCGTCGAACAGTCGACCCAATTTTTGGGTTTATGACTACTAATGTTCAACTCCGTAGCCTTGTAATTTTGAACCCAATCCAGACGACAAGGGAACTCCTGGATCAA